CTATCTTATGGTCGTATCTTGACATTTCATTATTAATCATCATTATCTTCTTATTTTCTGGTTCGTGGGTGGCTCATTTTGTTTCATCAATTGTAGTCGTGCTTCCGTTCCTCTTTCGTTCCACTTCATTACACGTTAATTTAATTAAACAAAAGAGCCACAGGAACTGCAACATCAGTCAATTATCTATTTTATTTTTCCTCTTACCCTTTCAACTACAAAAACAAAGAGATAATAAAAAGCTCTACTTTTAGTTGAACAAGAAGATAAGGAAGAATGAGGAACGGAGAAACAAAAGAGAGAGAAGCGAAATATCATGAAGCAAATCGAATAGGCGGAAACATGATTTCGTTTCTTTCTCTTCTTTTCGCTCGTCTCTAGGGCCCAAAAGACGTAAATTAAAAGAAATGAAAGGCGTGCGTTATTCGTTCCTCAACTTTACCCTTTTATTTATTTAGTTTTGTCTTTGTCTTACGGCCCTTGTTCATTAATGGTGTAGCCGCCAGGCATGGGTGAAAAGGAACAAAGCCAAAATTAAGATAAAGGAAAAACACAAGCTAGCGCGTGGTTTTTGCTTTTCTTGTTTTGCTTTGAACTTTTTCCCGTTGTGCGCTTTTCATTTAATTAAGGTCGTGCTTTCTGTTCCTTTCATTACTTTGTCATTAAACTGAACGCACACAACACAAGGATCCGGAATTACCTTTGACTTTAGTTGTAACCTTGAGCTGAAGGATTCTTAGTGCTGGATGTGGCCTGTCAGTGGTTCCTCTTCATTTCCCTTTCACTGTGGTTTAATTACAGTGAAGAATGAAGCGTGAATTAAACCACAAGAAGCGAAATAAGGTTGGTTTTGGTTCTTTAATTGAACAGAGGGTGCATTCGCTTTCCTTTACCCCTTGTTCAATTATTTAAAAGAAAAACCACCTTGAGAGCCATGTTGTGACTGTAAGGTGACAGGGAGTGGAAAGCTCAGGTCAAAGTACACGCATTCCTTTCGTGCTTTTTTCCCGCTCTCTTTGCTTATAATGGAATGAAATGAAAATAATAGAAAGAAATAGGCAAAACTGAGAAATTTATTATTAACTAGGACAGCATTCTTTTCAGCTTTCGCTCATCTTTACTTTTCCTATAGTTGAAGAGATTATGAAGAATCTAGACTTGGAGATTTCTGTGATTTAATGTGTAATTTCAGTAAATTCTTGGTTTCACTAAAAGCCTCCTTTAATATCATGAAGGGTCTGTTTACATTATACACCCTCCAAACCTAAGAAGATACCTATAATGCAATGAACTAGAAAATAGAAGTAACTATTAGAAAAACAAGAAAGATTACAAAAAACATACTTAAATTCGCTAATTCTGGTCTCATTTTCATCAATGAAAAGAACCATTCATTTTATTATTTCAATCAATCATCTTTTCGTTCTTATTTAGTGCATTTTACTTCCGTATCTTCTAGCGAATTCTCTTAACGCACCAGTCATTGAAGGACATATAAAGAGAGTAATGAAATCATAAATCTTTTGCTTGGTTCCTCCTTGTGTGATTTTTCATTTAATTGATTTAGTTCAATATAAGCATGCAAGAATTATTAAGAGAATAACACAGTGAGGAAAAGGTCAGATTTAAACATAACGCACCACATCCCAGGAAACGAGAAAATCAAGATCCTTGAGCGTGATGAATTCATGCTTCTTGATGATGCGGTTTTATTAATGGTGGATCGATTCTTGAGTTAAGGAGAGCTCATTGTTTCCACCTTTGGTTCCAGGTTTTCTGGTGATGCTTCAAACATAAGGTAACGAAGAGGATAGAAGGTCGGCTTCACCAGCAAGCTGACGGAGGCGGAGATCGCCGAAATTGAGGCCAACCTCTCGCCGGCTTACCGTGCTTATAAGGCGGGCATCCAACGCCGTGGGGCGAGGGCCGACGCCGATGACCCCGGCTCCGTTCGGCACCTCCGGATGCCGAGGTGCGCCGTCTTGAGTCAGCGGCTGCCGACGGCGTGCCCGACAGCATTCCCCACAAGCCGCCGATCAATGCGCCGACGTACTGCTCCGCCGCCGCCGACCGCAGGGCATCCGCGGCGGTGAGGGCCACGGCAGATGCCTCCGCCCGGTCATATAGTCGGCAACGGCACCACAGGGGCCCCTCTTGCGCCTGCCGCAGTCGATCGTGGCTTTCATCGACAACACGGCGGGCCAGGCGGCGTTATCCAAAGGATACGGCAAAGATCCGGCGGCCAACGTCAAGGTTGGTTCGTCGAGTTCCAGAAGGTGCCGTCCAAGGCTTAATGTGCCTGACGCCGAGTCCAGAGATGACTTCATGAACACGAATCCACGGTCCAAACGCCGAGACTCTGAACATCTTTGCCAAGGCCTTCGGCGACCTGGGGTTTGCCACCATACAGCAGCGACCGACGAGCTCCGCACCACGGCACAGAGCTTCCAAGGCTGAGCCGGCGCGGTGTGGCGAGTCGGTGCGCACGGCCGGTGCAGAATGCGCCCCGGTACCGGCTAGCCGTTCCAGCCTGCTTCGTCGCCGAGCGGCGTGATACAGCGCTTCTACCACACGACGAAAAGGAGTGCGTCGCACCAATAAAGTACAGTTTTGGATCAACGTCGGTTTCCGTATGTTGTGTGGCACATGTGTGTGCGCAGTAACATACGGTAACGGCCAACGCCGCTAGCACTCTGGCCCGAACGACGAAAGCTTTTCTCCCACCTTCATCACCCTTCTGCTGCATTTTCGGCGGACGGCGAACGACAGCGGCCTAGCCGTTCCAGCCTGTTTCGGCGCCGAACGCGTGCGTGATACAGCGCGATACGACACGACCTTGGACTGGGCGGAACTTCTAGTTTCAACCCGCGCGAACAGAACGGATACGCCAGGCAGGTCGGTGAAGCCATCCACCCACGGCCAATAAACCGGCGCAGCGCACACCCTGTTGGCCAGCAATGGCGACAACAGCTTCGCCCGGCCCAGCCGAGTGACCCAAACGCGCCGACACAAATCGATGTTGACAGAACTATTGGATCGGGCGGCACAAGTTGCTCCCACTGCAAGCCTGCGAAGCTGCCCACGAACGGTCGATGTGCTGGCGGAGTTGCTGACCGAGCCTCCGGACCGAGTCTCCGAGCTTGCGTGCTCGAAGAGATCGGCAGCTGATAAAGCCTTCATGGCTCCCCGGCCACCCGATGGGGATCCCGTGCAACGACCGCCCCTGTGACTGTCGTTCAATTGTGCAGGCTCAGATCCGTGCAAAATAACGCTTGCTGACCAACTTGGGGGGGTCCGTATTTTTGGGATCCATTGCTCGATAATGAGCGGTCGGGTACAAAAAATCCTGGAGTGATTCAGGGACAAATCATACGAAGGGAAGGAGAACGACGACAAGCAGGAACCCCCATAGTGTTCCGCAGCAGGTGCGGCAGGAACAAACCTCTTCGAAGGGTATTCATGGTGCAAATTCACGCCTGCCACTGTTGCACAGCGTTTTGCACGCATTTCCAGTCACAGCGAGGTTCTGGAGCAGCCAGGGAGCCATTTCGGCTGGGTCAACGCGTGGATGAGTGGGTGGATGGGTGAGTGGGTGAATGGGTGACTGAGAGTGTGCGGATCTTTCTTTCTTCGCCTTCCTCCACTGGCCGGCCAGCTTTTGGCTCATGTATGCTCCTGTCGCAGCGGTGGTCGACTTATGGCTTTGTGTCGTAGCAGGGTGGCCAGCGTATGGCTCCTTCCTTTTGGTGTTTGCACCCCTGGGTCAACCAACGGCTGTTATTGTATCGGGGTTGGCCAGCTTCGCCCCGCTGTTGCCTTTTCACGAGCAGTGCGGCACTGCGATTGGACTAGAGACCGAATAGGCCCAACCTGAACAAACCCTCCGTATCCCCCGTCTGTGGTTTATTGCGCAATGGGTGCACGTATGGAACTGCGTCTATTCTGCAATGAGCCATAGTAGGGGCAGGTATGGTCTTGAGGCCTGCAACAATGCCGAATGATACGTTCCACCGTTCACGTAAGTTTTCGCAAAATTGTTTTGTTTGTGATGGACGTGCTTATCGGGTATCGGTGGATATTCGTCAAAACCCATCAGGATTTTCGGAAATAAGCTTTGAGTGGTGTTCCGCCACAAAGCTCGACAAAGCGGCCGTGGCCGGAACTGCAAAGTTTTGACTGATTCCGCTCTTTAGCCTGACGCTCGTCCGTGCGGCGGCTCACGCAATCCGCCTGGTCGACTAAAACAGGCCGACATCGATGAAATTGGGCACTGTGCGTGTTAGTTGCGTCGTCCCAAATGCCTGTACCATCCTCCCATACACGTCCACAACGCACGGAGCAGTCAACGCCTGAGTTGTGAAAAGATGATTCTTGAAGAGCCGCCACCCTCGTTGTGCCAGCTGGCGTACAAGTAACGCCATCATGGAAACCAACTCTTCGAGCGATGTGGCATATAGCAATGTGTTATTTGCAGACCCTGTATTTGTCAGACGTTCGGTGCCACCAACGGTCAAACCATGTTTTGCATCATTGTCTTTACCATCGAGAAATTCCGAAATCAAAGTCTCCGTTGACAAGCGCAGGACTGAGTACATGTGATTTGTTTGAGTCCGCGTTGGATTGGACTGGATTGAACATTTGGCTTTTTGTACTAGGCCCACATCGAGGACCGCGACAATGCGATTAGCAAACTATTGCGTTGTGGAACACCTTGGTCACGAAGTGCTTCGAACAGCGATGTGCGCTCTATTTTGTCAGAAGCCTTTTGTGACGGCTACAATGCGGCGAGCAAACTATTGTTGCATTGTGCAATACCTTGGTCATGAAGTGCTTCGAAGAGCGATGTGTGTTCCATTTCCAATGCCAAGCAGTGGGGTATCCGACCACAATTACCTCTTGCAGCGCATGCCGCGCTTCCCAAACCTCGAAGCAGCATGGGTGCTGGCAGTGGGCTGCTGTGGCAGCTTGTGATGTCCCCTCAACCCTGCGTCCCGCACGCTGCTGCTTTCGCATGCTGGACCCCACTCAGGCCGTGCCCTCACAATTCTCTTTTCCTCGTTGTATTAATGTTATGATGTCCGCGAGCGGGCTGTCGTTTGTTCCCGAGCTGCTGCACACTACGGGCCCGGGCTAGGACGGACTGCGTCGTGCAGCGCGACCTCCAACGACAGGAGCGGGTAAGGCGCTCCGAGCAGCGTGGCAGCAAGGGTCGCTCTGCAAAACCACGCACGAATTTACCCGGCGGAGCGACGCGTCATTCGGCGACAGCGATGGCGGCTCAATCGCGAGTGGCAGCAGAAGGCTAGGGTTGTCCCTCGCGCTTAGCAACGACTCGAATGTGACGTCACCACACAACGCCTCACCGCGCAGGGTCTTCTGAAGCAAGTTTTGACCTCACGCGATGCGGCGGATCGGCGGACACATTCCAAGCAAACCCATCTAAAAACGCACGGTCTGTTACTGTCCAAGGCAGTCACGAGATCACTTCGATGATGGAACAATTCCCAGATTTTCGGGGCATGATCCGGTAAGACAAGATGCCGAACTCAACGCAGGCACACAACTGGTCCTGGAAAACGATTCTTCTGAGACACCGCTCTGCGGCTGCAGGAGGGCGTCCACATCGAGGGCCAACTTTTGCCGAGTTTGCCCATCACGATGGGCTTCGCTCAAAAAATCGGGACACGCAAGCAGCGGCCTACCTGCGCAACGAAGGCGCACAGGTCGCCAGTTGGGAAGAAGCGATTCCGGGCCAAGCCGACATGCGCCCCCGTGGTGACGAGCCCTCTGACCGCCGCGCCGCTTGTGCCACGTCTGGCATCCTCGCCTCCCGAGCCGTTCCGATCGAGCAGGCCATCGTGCGGGTTTGCCAAGAAGCCGGAGCCCGCGTTGGTCGTAACGTTGCTTTGGCGGCCATGAACCTCGCTGTGCCTGCGACGCTGGTTAGCCCTGTTTCTCGGGATGGCAGACCACACCCCGGCACAGAGACCCAGCCAGGCCAGGCGCAAACGCAGGCAAACCTATCCCGAGCTCGACAACCGCAGGAGGTGCCGCCTAGTCGTCTTTGGGCTTGAGGTTGGCGGCCGCTGGGACGTCGCCGTGCTCATCGAGTGAGTGGGCCTCGGCAGGAGCAGGCACGCGGGCCAAGCGGCAGGGGGAGGCGAAGGCGACGGAGGAGGAGGATCCGAAAGTGGGATGAGGGAATGGATACGTCTTCGAGGTAGGCAGAACCTGGGCAGAACCGTGAGGGCTCGTGCGGAGTGTGGCCCGGCTTGTGAAAGCAGCGGCGTGCGAAAGGCTGGTGTGAGAGCAGAAAGATGCATGTCGAGCGCGCGCTCATCACAGGCGTGGGCAGTGAGTGGTCCGCTGCCGCCCGCGCAGGCAGCCGAAGCCGCTTCGTTCCTCCGCCTACTTGCGCGCGCCCGTGCCTCTGCCACACCGCCCGCGCTCCGCCCAGCTGCTCAGGCAGCCTGGGTTCTCCAATGGAGTGGCCTCGTCGCTGTTGCTGCGCAAAGGGCGCTTGCAACCACGTTCCTCGAGCTGCCGCTGCACGCTTAGCCGTGTGCTGCCGGACGCCGGCTTTGCACGAACTTCTCGCAGACGCCCGTTGGACCAGCGGGCCTCAGCCGAGCCGCGTCCCGGGCCGCCCGTAGCGCCAGAGTAGGATGTAGGGGTGCCGACTGCGGTTGACGGGTGGATAAAGGTCCGCGGAACAAAGGAAAACACCCCATTATAATTTATAGATGTGCCCCTCCCTGCCTGACTGTGTCCCGCGCTGACCACCTGTCAAAAGAGGCAACTTTAAATCCAAAAACTCGCATGGTGCAAGTGTGAGTTTCGTGGAACAAGCAAAAGAACCGCTGCGAGGATGGCAGCGAGCCGCCG